AATCTTATAAAAGTCTTACTGCAATTACAATGCTATTTCAAACCTCAGATTCTTTATTTTGTATAAAAGCATTTTTATATTTTGGTCAAGTAGTGTAGAAATTCTGTTCAACAGCAAAAAAACCCAGATGTCCATCCATACACATACAGAACAAATTCTCACAGTAATATCTAGATTTTATATTAAACATGTTCTTCAGTCAATCCGAGTATTTTACAAGAGTCATCATGATCCCTGTGTGCAAATGGGGAAACTGAGGCACGGAGTGCAGTGTTTTTCACTTAGCACTAATTGTAAGAGTCACTGGAAAATTTCTGAATTATCTTAACTGGCAGTACTGGGTGAAACTGTACTGAGAGAAGAAAAAACCCCACCAGTTATACGTTTTACCAATTTAGGACATCAGAATGGGACACTGTGAGTAGGAGCCCCCACTGTAGCAAATAACTTTTGATTATTTTTTTTTTTTCATTAAGTGGCTGTTTGAACTACAGTAATCAACAAGAACACAAATTATTTAGGCTGCATATAACCACTACAAGCATTTTAGGTTTGTCATTTGTTACTTGTAGTTGCAGCTTGACTCCTTACCAGTAACTGGATGGACCAGTGATGAGATGGCATGTGATCTGCTAAAGAATGAAGATAGCCTATTGACATAAGTGTTGACATTTACTCTGCGTGTTTACAGGTTGATGTAAAACATATAAATCTGTCTGGCAACAGCATAACTTGAGAAGATTTGAGAATTAAGACCATAACCAGACTACAGTGTCTCATTAGAAATTCATATCCTAAATTTATACAATAATCTCACAAAGATTAAGATATGTTATTTCAGGAGTGAAGGTTTATCCATCTCCACTGTTAAGACACCACCTTTGCAACAAAAGAAACACATCCATTCACAAATTCAGTTTCACTTCTTGGTATGCTTGTATAGTACCTTTTCTACTCCATCTTTAAAGGAAACAAAGGAAATGAAATGCTTTTTTTTTCTGGAAGATTTTGAAACATTAGTTTATATGGAAAAATAAATATTTATTATATGCAGTTTGCTAATGAACAGCCTGAATGATCGTACTATGAAACATTTTCCTAAATATGCCGCTGCGGCAAAAGAGCTAGAATAGCCAAGCCCCAATTTTCCATTTCCCACAACAGGGAGGGGAGTGAGAGTGTGTGTGTGTGTGTGTGTGTGTGTGTGTGTGTGTGTGTGTGTGTGTGTAACTGCTTACACAAAACCCACGCCAACCCAATTGCCAGCTCTGATTTATAAATTTGTTCTTCTCAAACAGAGCCAACCAACGTAGTCCTGCCCTCATTACTACACAGCATTTGTTGCCTAACTATAGGGCAACTGTTTTAACAGTTAGAATATTTCCTGGACAAGTTTGTAACTGACAGTTTGAGTAAGAACAGATGATGTTGTTTCTTCAGCCAGAGAGCAACCTAGAAACAAAACCTTCCAGGTTTTTAAAGACATGAAATCCCAGAGGTCTGCAACCCATCACAGTTAGTGCCTCCACAGTATCCCTGCAGCTAATGGAGAGAACAACCTCCTTTTTGTTGAACCAATATAGAGTGAGCAGCTCCTCTCCTCTTCGCTGTCTACAACCTGCTGAAGCAAGCACAGCCGTTGGCAGTTATTAATAACCCCATCTGCAGACATGCTGGAGAAGTCTGTAGTCACGCTTCTGAGCTGTCCTGAAGCGATTCCCGTCTCCCTACCAGAAAGTTGTAATCCATCAGAACATGCTTCTAAGAATAGACTTGCAGAACATTATGTGTCAAGGAGGGGGTAGACCTCATCTAGAAAATCTTTTTATAGAAACCATCTAAAAATAGCCTGGAAGCTTAACAGGGAATGTGGTTTCATTTAAAAAAAAAATAAAACCAAAGTTCTGCAGTACCTTCAATTGCAACCTTTAGAACCAAGATTTAAGTTACAAGATTTGCCATTACAGTGATGTTTTAAAAGCACACATTTCCAGAATAAAACCATTACAGGAATATCCACAGATTATCTCTAATTTAAGACTGATTATGCAGTGAGGGTATAAAATCAGGCAATCTGAAAAAATCTAGTGAAAGCTGTTTTGTGAATCAAGATTCCAGAGGGCTGTCAAGTCTTCGCTGCCGGGGAGTTCACACAAGAGACAGAAGGTTGCTAACAATTTCTGATGAACACTGAAAGTGATACTCCATTGCAGTGACGTGAAAGAGAAGACTAAAGATGCAGCACTAAGCAACAGATACCAGTAATCCTCCTGGTAGCTGCCCTCCTGTCTGGAATTAGAAATTCCCCCCAGAGAACCACGTAGCACTTGCTACGTGGAAAAAAAAAAAAAAAAAAAAAAACAAAACAAACAAACAAACAAAAAAAAACAACAAAAAAACAGTAATTGGAAACAAACAGTACCAACTGGCATGTGATGCAAGGTTTATTAAAAACAAAACAAAAACAAAAAACCCCACCAAACTTAAAATTCAAGACCTTCTGCTGTTCTTTACAATCTCATTGATGAATTAGCTCATTAGCTGTTAACAGCTGAATACCACCAACCTATAAAATCCCACCATTGGAAGACTGTTGGTCACATTCATTAGTAACATCAGAAACTCTACTTTTTCAAACTTGTGTCTGAGAAGAGACCACACATACCTGTGAGTATGTTTCTGTAGGCGGTTCTCAGAAAATACATATGGCACTGAAGACTAAAAAAAATTGTCTTGATAAAAGCAAATACATTGATATAGGAAAGAGTAATGTAGGAGCACCGCATAAGGCTTATATTGCAGTGATGACTAATACCCTCAAGCATATCAAGATCTAGTATTTTTTACGGAGAGGGCAATTTTCTAAGGCGCTAGTGAAAGGATTTTAAAAAATAATTTTTCTAACAGATGCTGCTCAATATAGAGAACATAAGTTAAAAAAAATGTGTCTTACACTGGAAGCAGGTTCGATTTGCAGTGGTCTCCAGTTGTGAAGGGAGTTCATTTCAAGGTTTGCACTGGACAGCAAAGAATTTTTGTCTCCTGCATGGATGAACAATATCCTTTTGAGAAAGCATCTAAGAATCTGAGGTGTCAACCGCAGTCATCATCATCATCACTGAGTTTAGGCAATCTTTTAAAGGAGATATGACAACTAAGTCATGAGCACCTTTGAGACATGTCAGAGAAGCCTTATTTTCACTTAATATTTCATAGGGAACTAGAACAAGGCTTAACGTGCTTGTGTCACAGGTCCATGCACAAACGCACACAGGTAGCACACGTGACAGTGTTCTGTGCCGAGGCACCGTCGCTCTGTCACACTGAGGCCATCCAGGAGAAAGGCAAGAGTCTTGAGCAGCAGTTCCCCCATTGTCACAATCTGCTCCTGGTCATAAACTCGGCAAGAACCACTTTGAAGTAACTGTTTATCCCCTCCATGCCTATGGAAAAGATATTCCTGAAGATCACTCCTTAAATGTAGTTTCACTCCTTTCATTCAATTTCCAGACCATACTTGTTTCAGACAGTTTATAACCATTTATTTATTTTTGTTAACACTGTCCTTGAGCTTCAAATCTTCAACATGTTTTCTTTGTCCATCAGTAAAACTTGTGTTCAGCTTCAAAAGGCAGTTCTTCATCCAAGGGCTGCCCTCGTTCTAGTACAAGGATTTCCTTGTGGGAATAATAAGCTGGTACACAGCAGAAGATAGGCAGAACCGTGCTGCTTTTGTTTGGTGCCTGAGCCCAGATCAGACCCCTCTGTAGCTGCACACAGAAACCTGATGGGAATGTAGGAGGAAGCTGATTTCCACAAATGTGGAGCTGTCTTATAGTGGAGATGTGACCTCCCACCTTGGCTGCATCTCTCCAAATAGCATGTAAAACATTTTGGCCCATCTCTGCCCCCTCTCTCTATGGCTTAACTGAATCTAATATCGCAAGAAAACCCAGAGTGGATGTTTTCCACCTCCCATTGTCAGGAAAAACAAAAATAAACCTTTGCCACTGCTAATGGGAATGATCAGGTCTTGACTAGTGATTTCTGGCTACACTCCTGCTACACTTCTGGAAGTTATCTGCGTAACTAGAATTCTGCTGCTACGGAACAAAGTCAGAAATTGCTGAAATTGTGAGGCTTCCACTGATGACTGTGTGAAATTTCTGTACCACAGCCAACAACCAGAAAAGATGCAATGGTTTGAAGATATCTGGAAGGGGCTGCAGCCTTTTCAGGAGGCATTATCATCTAAGACTCTCCAAAAGAGTAATTCTGTGGAAGGAATCAAGACACAGGTGACTGATGTGACTGACTTAGAGATGCTTCTTGGGCGTGTGAAAGCCTACAGCGCTGGAGCTATTTCAGGTACTAGAGCAGCAGGACTGATAATTGTTTTTTTATTTCTACTTCTTGTCTTTTGTCAATGTTGCGTAAATATAACACTGCTTTTGAAGCAGTTTGCTACTCAGGTCTCTGAAAGAAGCAAATCAAGAAGCCCCAGAGCAGCACCGTACCTGGGGCATTCAGGTGAGTTTTCTGCACGCCGTCAATATCTGAAATGTGTTATTTCTTGTACATAAACCCCTGGCGTTCCCCCAAGAAAAGGTGCTACAGGTGGTGCGAAGGTTTGCCAGGCTGCACAGAGCGAGCTCCTGCAGACCGCGCAGGCACTGCCGCGCAGCCGCGCCCCCCCCCGGCCGTCCCGCCCGCCGCCTCCCGCCGCGCCGCGGGAAGCGGAAGGGCGCGCGGTGCCGCTTCCGCCGCCGCGGCCGCTGCGGGGCGGCGGGGGCCGCGCAGGTGGGTGCGCGCTGCGCTGCGCGGTGCTGCGCGGTGCCGGGGCCCGGGCCCGGGCGTTGCGCGCTGCTCCGCGCCGGGAGAGCGCGCCTGTCCGCGGGCCGGGCCGGGCCGGGCCGGGCCGGGCCGGGGTGCGGCCGCGGGTCCCGCTGCGCGGCGCTCCCCGGCCCCCGGTTTGTGGTTAAGGACGCGGCGGGGCCGGGCGGGGCCGGGGGCCGCAGGCCGGGCCTCCTAAAGGGGCCGGGGGCAGAGGGTTTGTACTTTCAGAGGGGTTAAATCGCTGTGTTTCGCACTCTGCTTCCCTTTATTTTTTAATAACCCGGAGATCTGTTTTTATGACGGCTACTCTCGTGCTTTCTTTGACGGATTAACTTCTTTTTAATTTTTTTAAGCTAAATATTTTCTTTAATAATAGAAGTGTCAGGTTTCGTATTCCTGCTTGTTGCTGGCAGGCCTCTGAGAGTTTTCTGTGTGCTGTCTCAGGGGTGGGAATGCCCCGATTTAAGCGGTCCTGGTCCTTGAGGTGAGGCCAAGAACGGGCTGGTCCTTGGACCCTGCCCTTTGAGGAGGCGGTCGGGGTCCGCCGTACTCCTCTCACCCCTTTCGCTAACGAGCTCTCAGAGGCAGGGCGTGAGCAGCTCCGGAGATGCTGCGTTAGTGTTCTCTAACTTCAGCAGCACTTACCCCAGGTAAAGAAAATGATGAACAGTTATTTGTTGAAACTGGAAAATGTGCGCTTCTAGTGATGTTCTGAAGAGCTGTATACGAATCAGTCTTAAAGAGGTCTTGTTTCTTTTATATCTTTTTGCAAGTGTGTCTTTAAACTGTCTCTAGTTACGGATTTTTAAGCATCGTTACAAGTTTTTCTTTGAAACTTTTTCTGTAGACAAAACTTAAGATGTTTATGTGTCTTTCTGCTTCTCTGAAATTTGGAGTAATGTTTAAGGTATTTTAAATGGTAATTCATAGCTTTTAGGTATATTGCCCTTGAGATGGATTGAAACCAACTGCATCTAGACAGTTGTTACAGCAGGCGTTATTTATAAGTACTTCTGGTTTTATACTGCACCATGATATTTACATTGTGAACAAGAAAAGCACGTTTCAGGAATAATTCTGTGGAGCCTGCAGAAGGAAGGGTGCAAAACTTAGGTAGGTGAGTACCAGTAGAAAACCTGTGAGACGACCCAAGTTTGGAAGCTTTTTTTAAAGTTAATGATGTACCTTCAAAGAGTACCTCTCAGTAAGTAAAGTCTCGTACCACATATGACTGTTAATGAGGTAGGTGCTAGTATGATAAATAATACAGACTTATAAACAATTGACAAATAGTGAAGAATATACTGCACAAATGTTATTTATCCTTAAGATATTAGAGACATCAAATTATCAGTCTTTTGTACCCTGAACAGTTATGAAACTGGTTTCTTCCAGAGAGTGTTCTGCAGAAAAAAAGAATACAGTGTCTGTTTGAGTTCCATCTTGTCCGGGACTGGTTTCCTCTCTGCTGTCAGCATGGCAGCATCGCTTAGAACTCTGTGGTCCAGCTGCTTTCGGATGCGTTCAGCAGCAACCTCTAAGCAGGCCCCACTGCAGAGTAAGTAGCGATGAAACTGTAGAAGTCCTATATTAAAATCTGTTATTTGAGAGCCTCTTTCCTGTTGTTTTTAAAGTAATGGAAGCATGGAAGTGAATTTTTATTTGAACAGAATCAATCTGATATTCTGTGTTCTCTGCTAATAATTAAAGGATATATTGATTTTTTTTTTCTTTTAAAGCTTCTGTGGTCCACATATGACACTCCTAATCTATTAATTAGCTTGTAAATACCACCCCCTCTTACCACTGATTATATTTGAAGATTTAAACTTATTTTTTCAGACTTACAAAGAGTGGTGAGAAAAAGCTACAGTAAAATCTTATTACAGAGAACAGTGAACAGAGAACAAGTGAAAACAGGCAATGTTATTTCTTAAACTTTTGTTCATGTTTTAGATCTCAGTAGAAAGATATAGATGAGATCGTAAAGGTGGTACAAAAGACAGGAATTGAGAAAATATAATGGACATGTTACATTTCAGAGGTTAGTGGGCGAGGAGGGGAAAGAAATACGAACTATTTGCAGTAATATTTTACCAGAACTCAACTTCTTAATAACCAAGAATGGTTTAATTGTAAGAACTGAAGCATGGAAGTGCTAACAGAAAATCTAAATTTTAGAATTTTATATCTAAAATATATATATGTAAATGTATTGGCTAGATCTGAATTTAAGAATTTTACATTTAAAATACTTCAGAGAGGGAAATTTTCTTGTTTTTTTTTTTTAGCTTTCCTAATTTTGACACACTGAATATTCTCCCCTTCCATTATAAACAGGCAAGAAAAATCCTATTTGTACTAAAACTAAAGACAGGCTACATAAAATAACATGTCAGAAAAAAGTTGAAAACTTTGTATGACTTATTTGAAAACAGAAGGCTCGTAACGTGCTTAGACATAGTTCTCGTGATCGTAATTTAGTTCTTCAAGTGTAGTGGTAGAAGAGGCTTCACTGGACTCAGAAACTTACAGGTGATTTTGTGTCAGGTTCTGTCCGTAAAGGAAGGGGTTTGCCATTAAAGTCAACTACAGGCACCTCCCAGGCCCATTTTAGGCATGCATGCCTACGTGCTTGTGTAAGGCAGGGTGCCTGTGGTATGGTTCCTATATGAGGGACTGTTACACTTACATACTTTATGTTAGGTTTACAGTTGGACACGATGATCTTAAAGGTCTTTTCCAACCTAAATGATTATATGAAAAAAACAGGAATGAAAGCGTGAGAAAATTCCGCTGGAAGGGCCTTTGGGTGATCTGTGGTCCGACCTCCTGCTCAAAGCAGGCTCAATTGCACCAGGTCACTCAGGGCTTTGTCCTGCTGGGTCTTTGAAACCTCCAAGGACAGAGGCTGCACAAACCTGCCTGGGCCCCGATCCCACTCTTGGCTGTCCTCATGAGGAAAACAGTTCTCTGCAGATCCAGTCAGAGCCTCTCATTTCAATTTACGGGTGTTGTTTCATGTCCTCCCACCGTGCAGCACTGTGAACAGACTGGCTTCCTCTCCTCAGTAACCCCAATCCTCATACACAGTCACTGGGGGCTGCTGGTAGGTCTCTCCCAAAACCGCCTCTGCCCCAGGCTCCAGCCAGCTCCAATCCCGCAGCTTCTCCCCACAGGGCAGGTGCGGCAGCCCCTGACCACCTGGTGAACCTTTGCTGGAGTCATTCGAGTTTGTCTTTTCTTAAAGGGCCTCAGACTGGCCGTAGTGTCTAGATGTGGTCTAGCAGGTGCTGAATGGAAGGAGATGATCCCTTCCCTCAGTCCACTTAGTACAGTCCCGCGTGCTGTTTGCCTTCTTTATTGCTGTGAATGAAATTATGATCTTCCCTCTCAGTCATAAGGTGTAGTGTTATTTACTCATATAAAGGATATGCTCTAATGGTGAAATCTATAGGTATTTTGTTTATACTGTGATTTTTCTTAGGAGAACAATACAATTGGAAAGGTAAACAGAGGCAATAGCTACCTAAATACTGTATTCTTTTGCTTGCACTATAATCTGTGTACTAAAGTGAACTTCTATTTAGACAGTATTTGGGTTTTGTTAATCTAAACCCAAGTAGTATTATAATCCCTGATTAAAACAGAATGGAACAAGAATGTAAACATCCTTAAATTCGGCACAGCTCTGTTTTTAATGTTCTTTATGTGGTTTTTTTTTTTGCAGATGGAGCTGTGTATCATGCTTGCCATAAATCCACTTACTCAGTCCTCCCTGAAGACTACAATTGGTACTTAAACGTGCTTTGTTGCGTGGCCTTTTCATGTAACGTTTATTCCAGGGCTACTTTCTCTGTCATGAAATTGTCGTATAATGGTATCAAATATATCTTCTGCCACTTTTGGAGATACATAAATATCTCCATATATCTATATATATGTAATAATTTTAACTAAAGTACTGGTTCCAATCATAATGATTGTGAAGTTAGTATTTAAAACAATGAGTGTAATGAAAAGTCATGCAGGACTCATTCTAAATGTGGTGATGAGCCCAGTACCCCATCAGATTTGTTTGTGGAAGAGCAAAAGTAGCTAAAAGCAGTCATTTTCACTGACGCTTGTCATTAAGACAAAGTCCAGGTTTTTTTGTGCTGCTGCACAGGGAACTTGAGTAGAAACCGGAAAAGATGATACAAATATAGTGAGCAATACAGCATCCATGTCATACAAGGTTTTAGGAAGCTAACGTGTCATGGAAGTTAATAGGAAGGAAGGTGAGAAGACAGTCATACTCTCTTGGGGAACCTCTCAGTAGGACTTACTGTTCGTCATGCTCATCATCTTTTACCAAATATAAAAGTTGGAACCCCAAATAGACATTTGTTGCTTGTTCTTTCTTTTGTAGGTGCCATACTTCTCATAAAGGCATCTTGTCCTAGAGATAATTATCCCCAACTGTTGCTACAGATTTATATGCAGTTATTCAAAGTGTTAAAGATTTTTTTTTCCAATCCATATTTCCAGCTATCTTTACTTTATTTTAGCCCTTTTTTTCTTCTCAAGCAAAAAAAAAACAAAAAAACCCAAAACAAAACAAACTATGAAGATGTCTAGGGTGGGGTGGGGGGGAGAGGGGGAAGAAAAGGAAGTTTAGGTGATGTATTTGTGGCCCTTTTTTTATAAGGGTTTATATTATAGAAGATTCTTAAGAATTCATAAACACAGGATCAGATCTGGTTTTCTTTGGGACTCGGGCTGCTCAGCATTTCTGAAACTTGTAAGAGATATATTTGAATGCAAATTTTTATTTTTATAGCAAAGTGGAACTTGCAGTGACATCAGATTTGAAGACAATTGTCTGCTACCACCCTTCGCTTGAGATTCCATACGAGCATACAAAAGTATGTCCAAATGTACACATTTGTATTTCTTACTCTTGTAAAGGCATAAGCAGTTCATAATTTTGAGTCTTTGGGGCATCTTTTTAAAATTTTAAATACTGAGGTACTTTTTAGTACCTGATTAACATGTGTGTGAAGTAAATGAATGATGAATATAGCTGCTTGCCATGAGGAGGACCTTATTCTTAGTTGAATTGTGGGAAAGTTGCAGAGTAAGAAATGTTCAGGTGCCATGGCGTATGGTGACTCAAATAGAATTAAATGAGGCACTCAGTTACTTGTGCACTGCAGAGAAAACTAGTGTCTGAGTGTACTCCTCAGAGAGGGTGTTTGAAATGCAGGTTATAGTTTACGTGTCCTGCTATGTACAGATGCAGCAGTCTGGGCAAGAGGATAGAAAGTGCTGCCGTTTTCAACTCGAGCTTTAAATTCCATTCAGTGCTTCAGATTCATAACTGCCAGAAAAAACTTTAAATATTTTTTTTTCTATCAGTAGTACTTTCAGTGTGTTTTTTACACTGACAAAAGTAAGTCTAGATAAACTTTTCTAGTGTACTTTTTTTGTTTCCATTTCCAGTTCTCACGTGCTAGTAAAATATTGCAAATGGTAGCTACATTGCTGAAGTAGCCAATGTGAAAATTCTTTATTGAAAACTGAAAACATTTTAGCACTCTGCCTGCAAGTTACATATTGGTATTTGAAAATTTATCAGTTGCACATCTCAGGAAAAACAGATGTAAAAGACTAAACCAGGGAAAAATACTTGTAATGCTGCTAGTAGTTAGGTTTCAGGTTGAGAACAAACATCTTGGTCTTAGCAGATGCACAAATAATTAAGAAGTGACATTCTTCTCCAAGGTACAAATCATCTAGAAGATTTTCTAGCGATGATTGTCACTATGAATAAATCGCTAAATAGGAATAGTATGAGTACTTTTGTACTGGTAGAACTGAGGTTTATGATTCAGCTAGTGAATTGTAAGGATGAGATCAGCCATAGTGATGACAGCAGTGCTGATTTTAGGGGCAGGGTAATCAGCTGTAGCACCTGGGGTAATTAGAAGTTTCTCGGCATCTGCCCTGCAGTGGGGTGGGTTTGGTGGGGGTGGGGATGGAGGGGTGTGTGGTAAACAGCCTTTACCATTACAGGCATTCTTCTATATTCCGTTGGTTTCAGCTATTAAGAGTAAATTGTAATGCTATCTATGTAGCCCGGCACTTTGATTTTTCTCAGAAAAAAGGAGAAAAAGAAAATATATACACTACTGTTTTTATAGCCCATACCACGGCCAGATCCAGTGAATAATAAAGAAGAAACCCTTGATCAAGTTTTGAAATCCAGACTGAATGAAAAAGAGCTAAAGAATGATAGCGGTCCTACAATTGAAGAGCTCAGCAAAATGTTTTACACAACAAAACATCGTTGGTATCCTGTGGGACAGTAAGTATTTTGTTTTCAAGGGAAATAAAGGAATAATTTAATGACCGTATTCAACCTGGGGTGAGTCATGTGAGACATAGTGTTAGCACATGAGCTACTACATGAAATATTAAATGCTGCGTTTTGTAAATGGAAGACTCTATTTCATAAGGGTTTTTTTAACACTGCCCCTTTGGTAGCCTTTGCAAATTTTTTTGTAAAATATGTCACAGAGTAGAAATTTCTCATACCATCTAGTTAGCTACGAGTTCAGGTGATTTACTAAAGTTGCGTAAGAGAATCTAGTTTATAAAATACCCTCAATGGACATAACCAAATACAGCTTGGAAACATGTATTGTCTATACCTTAACAACTTTTCAGAAAAAATGGGATGATTCTCAGGCTTAAGAGTAGTAGAGGGTTTTTATTGGAATGGTGAAAAGTGCACCCTGGTGTGCCTTGTGAGAAAGACAGGAGGTGGAAAGTTGCAAATATGCATGACTGAGCTTAAAGAGGAACTATATACATTCAGATATACCCCTGGAAACAAATGCCATTCTAGTTTGTGTTACTCCTTTTCAGTTAATGTTACTACATTTTTTGGTAGCTGCAAATTTTATAGCTATGGAGACTTTATACAGGCTTTTTTTTTTTTTTCCCACAGAAAACTTTTTAATTGCTGTGTTTTGGGAGTAGATAAAAGGAATGAAATGGTAGAACTTTCTATGGCCAGAGGGTAGCTGTCACTTTAATGAGCATCAAACAGGATCTTCATTGTTTTAGTGTGGGCAATTAAGAGGAAAGTAGGGATCATTTTTTGTTGTGAAGAGTTTGTTTTTTAGTTTGTCTGCAAAATATTACACTATTGAATGTACAGTCTGGCATAACTCCTTTAAACATCAAGCGTCTTTGTTCTGTAGCAATCATTTTAGCCAAAGGAAAAGCTGACCATGTAATAAAATTAACTTCACACAAAGGATTAAGAATAAGCAGCAGCCTTTGTACTTACTCGGCTGTAGAACTGATTGGATTATTGCGTGCTTGTAGCAGATGTAGCAGTAGAAATGAGTAGCATTATGTAACTCCACAAACAACAGAGATGACATCTAATGAGTGGTGATGGGTTGTGCTCATGTATCTTGTGTTTTGCTTACGTGTGTAACCTCCAGACCACTCACCAGGGGGAAAAATATCTGGAGAATCAAAGACTGTCCAAAGCTTGTATTCACTGATGCCTTTTTTTCTTCTAGGTATCACAGAAGACGCAGGAATCCTAATCCTCCCAAAGACAGATAATTAAGATAACTTCTTGTTCATCAACACTTTGCTGTTAATCTTTATTAGAAATAAAAATTACAAAGTGAGATGTTTGGCAATTCTATGAGAGTATTATAACTAAAACACACTTGACTAAATTTGACTATTATTTTCTACTTCAGCTAGTTGACAGAAAAACAAAACTGCACTGCTGAAACAAGGAGCCAGCAAAGGCTGTTGCACGGGCAGTGAATGTGCTAGCCTTAGAACTGGATGTAAGGGGTGATGGAGTGCTCTGATTAAACTTAGTCAGGGGCTTATTGTTGGTGAAGTGAATACATAATGTCAAAATGGGAAGTCTGCAACTGGGCATGTTGGAGCTTGGTGTTATTTTGGGGCTAATTTTTTTTTTGTTAGAAATGGAGTAATTGAAAGGCAGGCAAGATTGAATACTGATGTATTAATGAAATAAAGTGTTGATGAAAAATATTGTATGAGGTATTTATGGAAACAGTGAAATAGTTTTGCTTTTTTCTTTATACTTGTAAGATATCTGGTTCCATGTTTTGTTCTACATCAGCCAAATGATTGTATTTAAGGCTACTCTCATGTACTGAAAACTAGACGACTTGGTTAAATTTTAGCTTCCATGGCATAATAACTCACCCTTCTAAGTCACCCACCATTCCCAAATGGCTGACAACTTCTGTGTGCATTTGTAGTTTGGGGGGTGTGTGTTGTTTTTTTCAAACCGTTCAGTGAGGATGCCATGTCTTTATATAAATCAGAATAGCTGCAGCTCAGGGCAGGAAGAGTTCCTTGCCGCAGCAAGGTGATTGGTGAAGACTCCCAGCTCTTTCTGGGGGAAGGACTGGCCCTTTTATATAAAATACTTTGAATTAAAAGAATTTGGTTAGATTCTGTTTCATAGCTTTAGCATTTTGTAGTGCTTACGTGTTTCTGCCCTTATAATTTTCTATGCCATCTAGCAATTTTTTCTTGGGAAAACAAGATTGTTTAGTCTGCAGTTTTAGTCATCATCCTGCTGATAGAGAGGGTTAGCTTGGAACATTGTGCCTCTGCAGAGATCCCAGTGACTTCATTAAGTCTTCTTAGCAGATCCTTATAAATAATCAGAAAATAATTATCCCATATGTGTCATACATTTTGATTGTATTTCCTTTCCTAAGCAACTTGGATAAGATAGGAAGGTTCTTGTTGCTTCTGTTAGTTGTCATTTTGCCAGTGTGATTTATCTACAAATTTTGCTAGAAGTGGAGCACCATGTAAAGTCTCTCATCCTGGTCATTGTTAGTATAAAGGACACTTACTTTTCTAAAGTCATTACTAAATAACCTTTTTTCCTTGAATTTCTTTTAATTGTGAAAAAATTAATGTTGGAGGCATATGAAAAGACTGCCTTTAAATACTTCTGGAAAATTTTACATAAAGCTAGTCTAAGTATTTATCTTGGTGGTATTTTAAAAAAATGCCTTTTTAAATCTGAATGCCAGTTAGCTGATAATGGTTTATCATCGCAGAGCATGAAATAGTTTTGATTATTCTCTCTGTTATGCTTGTAAGATATCTGAGTCCACGTTGAAGCCTACATCAGCCAAGTGATTTTGGCTCCATATTATATGATGTGTTGCTCCCGTGATAACAAACGTGCTATCGCAAAGGAATATTTGTTGTGCCTATGAAAAGGATCACTGCTTACTCTGCAAGTTCAATTGCATGAAAGTAATCTTTTTTGCCTAGAATATAACATTTAAAATATTTTTTAGTAATTTGTAGGACAAGAAATTTTCGTATTTCAGTCAACCAATGATGCCTGGTACTGACACTGGTCCGTAAGGGAGAAGCTTACCTCTCATGTTTTAGAGTTTTATGTTCCCCTGCAGAAAATTGAGCCCCCTTTATTTTTGGAAAGCTGAGACCTCATTTGTCACTGTTTGATTTTTACTCTGGTGTAATGAAAAGATATCCTTGGGTTAACTGAAACTGTCTATTATTTTTCACCCTTCTTCTCCCCAATACTTCTGCTAATTCCTGCCTAATACTATTAAGACATTTTGCTTTACGGAACACTTCCATTCTCACATTTGTCTGTTCTTGCCTGTCAAACCCTATGATCAAACATCCAAAACCACTGTAAAAATGTTGGATTTCTCAATGTTTCTCAAACATTTTTGGATGCTTTTCAGGCATTTTGAGGGCTAAAAAAAAATCCGTGTTGTGCTAGACTGCTATCTTTAAAGTATTTTCTCTTCTGACCAGTTACTGGAAACTGAGTCTAAAACATGTGTTTGCTACATGTACCCTCTGCCATTTTGTTACTACATTAATTCATAAAACTGGTATTTTAAAATCTTTCCCTGCATTATACTGCCATCCTCAATCTTTCTGTGTTCTCATCTACCAAATCTCTTTCCTGAGTCATCTGAAGCATAACCTCATTAAAATCCTACTCTCACAGTAATTCCAAGCTGTCCTCCTGGTTTTCTAGTTCTTGAACTACTACATAAAGCTGTCTTTAACTGCTTCTCTTCACTTGAAAACTTGGAATTAGAAATTCACCCATTTGACTCTCGTCCCACTTCTGCACAAAAGAATACTCCATTTGAAAGTTAGTTTGGGATTTCTGTTTTCTGTTGCTCTTGTTTGTCTTAGAAAACTTCAGTTGCATAGAATGCACTGAATGGTAACTCTGCTCTGGTGTCTTTGTATCCAATTTCAGGCACTTAGCCATTTGCTTTGTATCTCTTAGTTACTAAGTGTTTCAGACCTAACTAGGATCATTGCTGTGGCTAGTATACAGTTGGGTATATCTTACCGAATTTTTTTTTTTTTTCATGTGTCACTACAAGTCTTCTCAGGCTTTGCTTACTAGCATGCCAGGAGAAAACTGTGTTTCAGTCAAGTATCAAAAGGTTTGGCCTCCATTCGGACTGTTTAAATTGCAGTTCAATTTATCTTGATGTCCTATAGAAAAGAAAGTTCTTTCGGTTCCTTTAATTAGACCTGAATTTAAAAAGGAAGCATGCTTTTAAAACAGTGTTTTGCCTTTTCTACGTGCAAATTACGTTGTTCTGCAGATTCTTGGTACTACCACCAGGAGGCAATCTTGCACAGTAACTCAACTGTAAGTACTGAAGAAAAGGGAACTCCCCTGCAGGTCTGAAAGTGGTTGGATTCAAAGAGTCAAAAGTACTTTTGCAGGACTTGCCTGTTTGCTTTGACTGATTTGACTTTTCTAACATGTAGCAGAGATGTATGTTCACAGCTAAACAAAAAAAGCCCCACCCTCCCGGTTTTTAAAAATGAGCCAACAGTGGAGCAGCAATGGGACCCAACAGCCACAGACACCCATGTGACAAGTTTCATGTCTTTGTCCTTCAGTTCCTGGTGACTATAACGAAGGGAGCAGTTATCCATCCATCCACCCACCCACCCATTCCCACTCCTCCAGTTACTCAGTCCTATAGGAAAGTTCCCTTTGTGTCTGTTTACTGTTGTAATTGGTACAACAGAATTTTGACAGGGCAGCTGAAATTCAGACCTGAGTCAATCATGGCTGCAGCTCCATTATAAGTCACACTAATGATTGCTGTTTAAAGTCAACAGTGCATTTCTCAGTTATTCCAATCTTCATTAATTTTAGCAGCTGCTCTACTGTAATTTCTCACATGCTCATTCCATCCTCAAAACCAGTACAAAGTTATATAATGAAGAGATCAAATAGATGTAGACTGCATTCCTCTTCTGTAATAGAGGATGTATATTTTGTTTTAATGCTGCAATATAGCAAAATTGTCTTAAGGCCTACCAGACACCAGAATAAACATCAGACAACCTGCATAGGTACAAGACATAAAAGCTGGATCCATCTCTAAGATTGAGACAGCTACCAATTAGACATCTAAGCCCAAGTTAATCCTTGTAGGCTCCCCTTAGAGTCAGCTGGCACAAAAAAAAAAATACCTATACAAGGCAGCTGATCTTATTTTAAGATTTTATTGTCTGGAATATGTCACATAAATTGTTCTCTGGAGGTGCTGCTTCTTGCCTATGAAAGGAGGATGAAGCTTAGTTGAGATTCAGATGCCTGTATTGAAGCAAGTGAAAGCAGTCTTTTATTTTATTTGAGAGCATATATGTAAAAGGTAAATACTCCACTTAAAATATTTTTGCTGTTTCTGCTAGCCTTCAATAGCATGTAGTCTGTATAGAGGAACTCTGTTTTCTGTGTAGAGTAGTTCACACACATTTAATTTGTAAATCTGAATAAATTGTGTGTAGAATTTTAGTCTCCCCTCCTTATATTTAATCAACCCTCCAATGCTAAAAGATAATACTTAAGTTGTTTTTTTGTTTCATTTGGTGTGTAGTCACAGGAGAAATAATATAGTTATTTTATGTATCTTTATAGCACCTCTTCTAATGAGTTTATGATCTCTACTGTTACCTCTAGGTACTTCTAGAAAAATGAACTGGGTAATTTGCATAGAATTACTTGAAAAAATAAATAAAATTTACACAGAATGTTAGTTCCACCGTATATAACTACAGCTGTCAGAACACTGCCCATCAGAAGGTGGGAGCTAGGTGGAAGCTGCAAGAACTAAAGGGTGTGTTTGGTCAGTTTCCCACTGCATGGCTTCTAGAGAAGTAAAAGTTTATGGCCTGGAATACCACTTAAGTAGGTGAGAAATGATCATCAGTGTATCACAAAGCTTTTCATCACCTAGAGGCACCACAGGAGGTTGGAATGGCCAATAGAACTGAGAAGCTTTGCCAGCTAGTCTTTCTGAAAAATCAGGTAAATCATAAATACAGAAAACAGTTGTGCTTATATTCAGCTTTACTGCTTCTCAAGATGAAAAACAGTCTTGGGTCAGAGGCAGTTTCCCATTTTAACTAAGGCCAGTTTTGACTGCTACCAAAGTTTACAATTCCTCAGCAAAAGAATCTCCCTACCAGCAAAATATGAGAGATCATAGAAAAAAAAAATCTGGAGATGTTTTTTAGCATCTCTTCTGCCAAAACTAAGTTTAACCATGTAAGTATCACAGAAAATTTAAAATGAACAGTGAAAAGTGACTGTTAAATTAGGCTACTGCATTAAGCAATTCTCATGCAGAATAAAAATTAACCTAAGTAAAAGATTGAACTATTAAAGCATGACCCTACTGTACAAACATGTACTTCCCACTCACTGATGCTAACAAAACAGAGCTTTATAGTTTCCTGTTAAGATGAGTGTTTCTTGAATACTGACAGTTTTTCTCATTATTCACATTTGTTGTGCTTATTTAAACAAATAACAAACTAAGCAGTATTTTTCTGAAGTCAACATCTGTAGGAGTTCTGGTGGATCAGAGCTGTGCTGCAGCAGTCATCTTCACCTTCTGCTACAGTTAAGACACACTGAGGATTTCAACTTAATAATATACTCATGACAGAAAAAAAATTTTCCTTGACCCCTTATTAGTTAACAATTGGTCACTGTACAGTAGCATAAGGCTTCACATCCCTTTTCATAGTTTTTTGTTATTTTGTAACTTTTAATCATGACTGTCTTAAGTATGGGTTCACTTGTTATTTTTCCAAGAATATCTCATATCTTTACAAAACTCCCTTTTCCCCATCCTGTTTTTCATACAGTTAGAATCTTGGAATTAGTGATGGGGGAACAGGGTGGCAGCATGTTCCATAAATTTCAGAATTGGATTAAGGACTTCCTATCCAGAGTAGTGGCACAGTGCAAACAAAATTCATGGTAAGTTTACCGTAAGCAGAGATAAGAAAAACAGCAGAGAAATTCCCTTTCTAGAGCATGTATTTGTATGTTCAGATCTACTAAAATAAACATGCTGTATGTTGGTTGTGTGGGTTACAATTAATTGATCTTATATGGCCATGTTTGTTGAAGAAAAAGGTTTTAAATGACCCCAAATAGGCCACTGGTAAGGCTGAAAGGTGACACAATGGCCTGTGAAGAGAGGAGCAGTGGTGGTCCTGCTGGAGAGCAGCTGTGATTAGTACCTACACAGTGCTTAGTCCTTGTCCAGACTGAGGGCAAAACCTTGAAATGCTGAAACTGAGCCACTGTGAGTGGTTTTCTTCAATATGACCAAGATTTTAACTCATGACTTTGTGGAAATGATACATGAGAAGCCTTACTTTTCTTCAAGTGAAGTGTTTTTCTCGGAGTCATAATACCTGTGTCTATGCTTTAGCCTCAGGCAGGTGGTTCCCAGCAGCAGATACCCGGGGTCTCTCTGAGCATGTCCTCACTGCTGCAGGCTGGGGAGCAAGCTCAGGCTGCGGCTGCCGATCCCCACGCCTCTCCGTTACTTCCCCCTGTGCCACCCAGACCTCTTTAAAGCAATGGCTGCCCACCCCTGCAGGGAGACTTCACACCAAGCGCTGCTCCCAAGAGCCTATCTTGTCTGGCATTACATGCTCTTCTAAACTACCCAAACTGACTGTACCCTCAAACATTACTGCACCCAAAAACATGCAATACATACATACCCTCATTTTCATGCTAGGAGAGCGCCATTTCCACAGGCTGCAGTACAGCTTCACGTAATTTCAGATGCATCAAACTGAAAGGCAAACAAAACCCATCAGAATTACATGTTGGGTCTGAGTCCAAAGAGTACTGTGGGACATGAATACTGGAGTCTGCTCTACAGGGAACTAGCCCCAGCTAGTGTGAATGTAAGACAAGCCTTTTGGTATCAGGGAATTTTTTATTTAGAAATAGAAGCACGCCCTCTGAAATTAGGTAGTTGGGACCCAGGTTGTTTTTATAGATAAACTGAGCTCAGATTGTCTTTGTTTGGACTGCTAAATCTGAATGAGTCTGGTACAGGCTTATGGAGACATGCAAAACCAGAAACTCACATGCATAATTACTGTTCTCTAAACAACTGAGTCATCAAGATTGTCCAATCCAGTTCAGAGATGTCCCGGCTGAGACTCCTGTAAAAATGAATTTTTCTTCTGAATAAACAAAATTAAATATGGAGAGAAGAAAGTGCATTTCTGTAACTTTGAACAAAATCTGTATTTAGGAGCAACCATCTTCAACAGTCCACATCAGAGTAAATGAACCATACCAAAGGTCACTAGGTGTCAATGTTCTGTAATTCTCAGCCTTCAGAGGATCAAAGAAGTCTAAAGAAATGGTTCAAGTTGAGGCATTTGGCAAGATAATGAGGTGAAAGGCTTTCAAAGTTTTCTGGATTAAAAAACAATAATTGGACATAATTCTTAAAGTCTTCATTTAGGCATTACTAAATAAAAATGTGTTTCCATTTCAGGGCAAATGAAATGTCAGCAGATGAGTGGTATAAAAAACAAAGAGCTGGTTTTCAGTTCTTGGGACACAAGAGGTTTATTTATTTTAAAATCCGACATTGGCAAATAAGCTGTTCACTTTAAATAGCTTGCCAGGTGTTGTTTTGTTTTTTCCTTTTCAGCTGTACTTATGTGATTCATTCTGCTAGAAAGACACTACCAGTTCAGCACAGATTTTTTAACTATTCATCCCCTTACCTGGTATACTCTTGCCCCCTTAGAACAGCCGATGGAACTGATCCTGAAAATGCCCAAGGAGATTAAAAGATGTGCTTCAATTGATTGTTGAAGTATAACTGTCAGAAATATAACTGTCAGAAACATAACTGATCTGTTGTTTGGGGAATTTCATTGTTGTTGCTGCATCTTTTCCATCAGCCAGTCCAAAGGGATTTCATTAACATCTCACTAGTACCTCCTGACTAAGTAGGAATTTTGACTAGATTGTGAAAGCTTCTAGCAATAATCTATTTTGAAGTGTTAAGTATATAAGTGCAAATTGAGTGGAAACAGCTGTTACATTCTCTGGACACAGGATTCCACTCCCTGATGGACAGAAAAAAAAAAAAAAAGCCACTGAAAGAACATAAATAAATTGGAAAAATGAAGATCTAGTAAAAATATATGCAATGGACCACAATGTCAGGTAGTATAAATTGGTATAGCTCCACAGGTTTGCCCCATAGCAATATAAAGCCCACCTGCCAGGAGAACTTGAAGAGTTTCATGTATTTCTTGGAGAAGCAGGGGGAGGGGTTGAAGGAATGAACATGCTGAAAACAAAAGCATATGAACAAATTAATGTTTCAGCCTTTTATGCAATGGCTAACAGAGCGCCAGGCGTTTTCAGAAATAGTCTCGGAGAACAAAGCTCCCATTCACAACAAGATTTTGCTGTGGACTTCTGTTAGTTTGAGATTATGTACTGGGAAAATTACAAAAGCTCCAGAAAAATGTAAGCAGCATATTCTAGACCAGTGTGCCTGAAAGCGGAGGACGGTGCTGGAGGGAAAAGAGAGCATAGTGTGAAAGCCCACCTCTTTAATGAACGCAGGCTTTATCTTTTTGTTAGCCTGGCACAGGCCCTCCTGCACGTCCTCTGTACGTGTCGCCCTTCACTCACCTGGAGCAGATCCCGCTGTCACGTGTTCCACCGGAAAGCTCGCGCTCCCTCCTGCCATTGCTTGCTTCTGTCTGTAGCATCACTGGCAAGCACCTACAGTAAAATGAACAGTAATAGACTGCCCTCAGAAAAGGTTAGGCATGTTTAAAAACGTACACAAAATGTGGCTGCTAATTTCATTTGGACCAAACCCACTCAGTCAAATCAGCGTTAGGTTGGGGAATTGAAGGTGGGATTGTTTTGCTGGGTTTTCCTTATAGAAGGGAAAAGGAGTTGATACAGCCAAAGCTCAAGCACTGCAGAAACACTTGCTTCTTCGGGCCCATAGAGTGATTCCCTTCAGGCTTAGCTCTGTTTGACTTGGGATTGCTTTGTGCCTGCCAGCACACAAAATCTGTCATAACACAGGCAAGTGTGTGACAGAAATTTCATTCTTATTCCATTTTAGATAGAGACTCTTGCCTGCTGTTCTGTCTTATGCAAACGATACACCCTATGGCTAAATGCATCCTTCTGTTCCTTCCCAGAACAGACACTGATCCACAGCAGCAGGTTTTGCAGCTTCCTTCCCTCCAGCATGATGTGGCCTGAAATGCTGGGGAAAAATACTGCTGTGCCTCATGCATCTTTCTGGATCAAATTTATTCCCAGAGGGGTAATTTATCAGAGAAGTGAGCTCTGAAGAGAATGCTAAAAATAGCGTTAAAATTTTGAAATACGGGGCAACGGCACTGAAAGTCAGAAAAGATGTCTAGCCCAAACTCACACTTTATAAAAGGCTTTGCATATTTTGTAATAATTATGGATATTATTTCCCCTCCCCCATTAATTTACAAAGACAGAGAGATAATAACAAACTTTAGCAAATCTGAATTTGGTTACACGCAGCCATCTGTTAATTCTGGTATATGGCAGCAGAGGGCATCTAAGGACTTCAAGTCACATATGGTGAGGGATTAAAATCAGATGGTTGAAGGAGCTACTACTCTCATCCCCAACCATTCACCCCACCCCATGACAGAATCTGCCACCTCACGATCAAACAGCTCACGAAGCTGCTCCTGAACAACTGCAGTCTTGAGCCATGTGGAAATAGGGGTTGGTCTTAACAGGTCAGACGGAAAGGTGAAGTTGTTCAGGAGGAGATGCGTGAGTTAATTTCTCATCCCTGCTGCAGGCAGCACTCTGCCAGAGCCAGGGGAAGGACCATTCAGGTGCCCTATAAGGGGAGATAGGAACTGCCTCAAGCAGTCTATCCAACTTTATCGACTCCTGTTTGAGCTTTAATTTCCACATACCTGGCAAAACTGTATATAGGAGGGGCAAGCTATCCTGGGAACGGACAGGAAGCGCCAAGAAAAGGCGAGCTATGGACCAATGCTCTTTCATCAAGCAGGGAGAGTAGCCCTGTGTCTATTTCCTCTGTTGAGCCCTAAAAATGCCAGTCTGTCTATCTGGCCTGTATTTCAGTTTACGTCCTCCCAACACGCCACGCAGTTACAGGACGATGCCTTGAGCCTTCCTGACAAAAAACAAGCACTAATAATAACAAAACAAGATAAAGAAGGTAGTTGGCAACTAGCACTGTTTTCCTGTCATCAGTTCAGGTTTGTATGACACTCCACATCCAGGCTCTGTACTGAAGCAGGGAAAGCAGCCATGCCTGTCTTGAGCCAAAGGAAGCCAACATGTTACAGGCAGGTTAAGTTCATTACCTGACACTGACACAACGCACTAATTTGAAAAATGTATTTGATCCGAGCAGCATATACATATATTCTGGGCGGCATATTTTCAATTAACTGCAAGAAGCTTACAATTACATAAACACATTAGTACATTCTGATTATCCTGCTATTCCAACTCCTAAATACAGCCACACGTCAGGCCTTATGCTGAAGTCTATTATAGCCTTAGTCTGAAATGTAAAAGTGGCTCATGCCAAGGAAAAGGTTCTACAACTCATTTAATGATTCACAGTACTCCTGAAATGATATTCATCTGTCTGCTTTCCATGGCAGCACTTTCAATCATAAACACTTAATTGTAGGAATTCATCCTCAAGGCCAAATAGCTCTGGGTGAATTAAACCATCTTAAATATAAGAACTAGAACAGTGATTTAAAATTAATCTTTTTCTGATGGGAGGCCATTTATTCAGAGACATATAACCCAGTTTGTTCATCTTTGCTTTACTTTGCACTCAAAACTTTCTCTGTTGGAGATAGCCACTGCATCACCTGTTTAAGTTTTCCTTATTTGTTTCAGAACTGACTCGTTGCCAACAAAGGAACTTTAATTACTTATGGATTGGCAGAGCACAGGAGAGCTGCCTGCATGCCCTTCGTCAGGAAAACTTTTTTCAGACATTACTTGCTCTCTTTTACTTTGAGAAGTAGGACTCGCAACTGGCAAGAAAACATCTCAAGCCTCCTCAAGCATAAAAGCCTTGTTTTTTCTGGCAGCATCTAGGACAAAAACACAAGATTTCACAGTACTTTCAGCTGTGCTATCTCTATGATTTTTCTAAAACAAAGACAAGAGTGTACATTTCTCCAAAAATCCAGAACTTCAAAGAGCGAGGTTACGAACATGTGTATGTATAGGTGTATGTGTATATACACACCTATACACTCCTTCTCAGGCATACACACACCTTCTCAGCCGAAAAACTAAGCTAAACAAATATTACAGTCACTGCATCTTATACTATAATCTGAATATTGAAATCCATAGCAAATATTCTCCTAGTAGTTGTTTAAAATGACTGCTATCAAAACAGTTCCTGCCAGCAGTCTTTTTTTCTATCGTTTTCATAAAAAGGAAGCATGGAAGGGAAGAAAATGCTATCAAAGCATGTGTATTTACAAATTATCCTTGGGTAACTTTCAGCACTAGTTTAACTACTTCTAGTCAGAATGAAATTGGATAACTCACAAAATAACAGTGACAGACCAGAATCCTGCTGTTTATAAAAGAAGCCTAACATAGTATAAGGTGAAAACTGCTGTGTAAACTATTTTTTTTATATACTTAGTACCCTGTGTCACCACATTCCACTTTTCCTTAACAAGTCTAGCCAAATTATTTTTATGTTATTTTGTTTTTACTTTAAATAGTAAATTAGAAAAACTATAAAAGCACTACATTTAATGTTTTTAATTAAAGATCCTAAGTGTGTCTAGATAACCTCTTACTCAATGCAGTTGAGGCCTTTAGATGCTACAGTAAGTTTTAAACAGTATAAAGAACATGATGAGAGGAGAGAAGGATTTAAATGCCACATTTTTTTTGGTCAGAGTTTCATGCTTGCTGGTGATTATCTGTCTACCTATCCACTGAACTAAAGGAAATGATCCTTCCTTTTCTCGACTGTCTCTGAAAGAAAATAATCTGGATGTTATTTCAAAGTACTGCTCTCTTAGTGCTATCTCTTGATGGTTTGCTTTTAAATTACAAGTGCTGTTTTCTTTTAGAACACCACTTATTCATAGAAAATATTCACTGAATTTTGTATTATCCTCCTTTACCAAATGTATATTCTCAAGAAAGATAAAGCGTTCACATCTGAATAGGCAAAAATGGCATGAAATAAGGTGGCAGCTGGTTAAAATGTTTGGTATACATCATAATTTATTTCATCAAAACATTGTGCTCCTTGGGCAGCTGGAAAGAGCAGACATCTCATTTACGAAAATACTTGTTTTCTCTCTGCTGTATTTATTATGTTTTAGGAACTCTTTGTGAAATAAGCAAACCTTTCTCCTGACTGCTGAGTGAGAAATTCTCTAAGGGCTTGCATTGCAGACCTTGCTCGTGGTGTGGAGCTACAATTAACTGGTTCTAATTTGCTTGAGATAAAGGCTCAATATTCATATTTCTCTGCTTGAGAACCAGACAGGCTGCCTGACCACTGTAAGCACAGGAGAGGGAGGAACCGTGGCAGTTATACACTGCTATTGAGATCAGTTCAGGTACACAGTTCTCAAAATATAGTCAATAAATAGATGTATTTGATAAGCAATAGCTGGCCTTGTAACTAAAGTGGATTTTATCTGACCAAATGGTATGTCATGGATAATGGATATTCTGTGCTGCATCTCCGGGAAGTAGGAATGCAGAGAGCAAGGAAAGGCCCCCTGTATTCTTCCAGGTAGCTAGATAAATCTAGCTAAATAAATCAGTAAGCCTTTTCAGCAAATCAAAGCAAATTTAGCAAAATCAGCTGGGCCAAAAATGCATTGCCCCCTCCTCCACTCACATCATATTATATAAATAAATCAGCGTGCTAGCTCTCTGGTAAATCTGGCATACTTTTCAGGAACAAAGTAAAAATCATTTCTAGCAACAGGCACCATTGTAAAAACGTTGTTGCCTCCTTCCTTGGTCATGAAAGGGATTTTTGCCTAAAGGAAAAATAAAAAATAAATCCACTTGTCGCTCCCCTTCTCTTTTTGAGCACATATATTTGAAAACAAGTCAGAAGCATAATATATTCTGCTTGTGATTTTCAGGAACTCTTAATGTTTATGTTTTCATTACTAATATAAATCTCGATTAAAAATATCTACTATATGGATGATATACTGCCCAAACCAAAATGTTCATGCACAGTAGAAAGTATCTGGAAAAGAAATCAGAGATTCCTTAAGTTTGTGCCTTTCATCTCCAGTCAGATGATACACCTCTAAAACTCACTCAGAAACATTCAAAACTCTATACATACAGGCAATACTTGTCCTGGAATTGCTACCCCACAACATACAGACTAGAAATAAATAAAGCATTTGGTTTGAACTGTACCTATAAATGTTAAATCCCCATTTGTATAAACTAGTTTTCTCTTAATATTAGTGACTCTGGTTAGAAGAATTACTGTTTGTTACATGGCAAATTAAGAAACTTATTTTGTTTACATGATGGAAAACTAAATTTTCAGAGTCTGCTGCTTCTTTTCTCTTTCTCCATTTCACATCTTTCTCCCACTCCATTCTGATTTTTTATATAGTAAAACACTTAAGGCAGACCAAGCATGTATTAAACATCCTAATGCCAAAGAAGCTAAAAAGTAGTTTAAAGTAGTTTCATGCACCACATGTGGCCCATAATCCCAAAAGTAATTTAATTTAATCACCTTTTCTTACCCTTAAAAGTTTTTTTTTTTTTTTTTTACTCCCCTGTGACTGTGTGAAAGACACACGCAGACAGAGGAGAAAAGCAGCTAACTAACGTTGTTGAAAGAAACAGTGAAATACTAACTTATTCCACGGAGCCTGTAGTACTTGTGGAAGTCTCATACCAGAGAATAAAGGTAACTGTGAACCGAAGTTCTCTTACGAGGTGCCAAAAGTGTCATTTAGAGATCGATTTGCAGTTTTAAAGTTTGAATTTCATTACTCTTGTAAATTTATCAGATCTTTAGTACTATTTTTAAAAGACATTAGCTTCTCATGAAAAAAAAATTAACAGCGCTCAGTTTAGGAAAGATCCTGCTGATATACTGCCTATTTAATTTTTATGCTACCTTTTTCATAACAATATCTGAAGTTTTAAGTAACAAATATTTATTACATTCTTCTGTTCTTGTTTCTCATTCACCACATAAATCATGGTCTTCCTCTCTCTGCCTTTATAGCAGCCAGCTGTGGTTTTAGAAACAAATTATGATGACTTCAAGTGCCGAATAAACAGCAGAAGCAAAGGAAGTCTGGAGATACTATCCACATGAAAATGCCATTAATAAATAACATAGGGAAAGAGAACTACAGCAAAGCTGTAAAAAAAGCAGCTTTGCATCTAGTCAAGATGCATTCCATTTATCTAAGATGAATTAGTGAACTTTAAAGGAATAGCCCTAATTTGAACACTATTATATCAAAGTAACATATTTTTGAGCAAACACCCTCTGCCTGCATATACATACACAAAAATATTTTAGTAATAAAAATAGATCTTTTTTTTTACTGTTGTTGTTCATATGAACATAGTGAAGCCAGTGCAATTCTGAAAATGTAAATTAATTTTACCCAAGATCTCACATCATCGGTAGCAGAACTGTCAACTGAATTTCAAAGGACACAGCCATATTCTCTCCCCTCTTCACATCTATCCAATTAAAAATTAGTGGGGGTTCCACAAGAGCCACAGGAGACTGGATTTGAGACTATCTAAACTGCACAGACAAAACCAGGAACAAGAATAACCTTCAAGACCTAAATTGTTTAAACCATTTCTGAGAATGCTTAAGAAAGAAATCCCACGTTTGTTCCTCAGACCTCATTTTAAATCTGCAGTGGTGTCAATGATTAAAACCACCTTTTTTCATAAACTGAATAAATTAAATTCAAAAGTACCCAGGCATTACAAACAGATGAAACCATACTAACTAATTCACTTAAAGTATTTTTTTTCCTCAGATGAATCTGCTTAATTACTAAATACAGCACTTTTTTTTTAAGAGAACTATGAACTCTGATACTCTTCACTCATGCCCTGATGTTTAAAAATGGTAAGTAATATCTATTCCAAAAGCATTCAAGAACTGTCCTCGACGGTCTCTTTTTCAAAAAAAAAAAAAAAAAAAAAAAAAAAAAGAAAAAAAGAAACAAGAAACGTTGAATTTCAGGAGTTACTGGGGAGTACAACTCAAGGCAGGAGTGTCCCTGGGGGAGCCCTCTCTGGGCAGGGAAGCTGCCGTGCCGCTGCTGCCCCTCTCCCTCACAACTAGACCGTCCAGCCTAATACATATTCATTTATCTCTTTGATAACAAAGGCTCCTCCCCGGTTTTTAAAGAGTTTGTTTTACATTATTTAGTATTAATTTTTCCTGAGGACTTTAAAAAGACACCCATTAATCCTCCCGTCACAACCGAAAAATACTCCCTCCCAAAGACCGCCGTGCAATTTGCAGGGAGCCCTGACCTGCAGCCAGGGGCAGGGGTGAGACTATAACGGCTACTTTTGCTTTGTTTCCCCTCTTTTCTTCCCTATTTTTTTTTTTTTTTTTGTCTTTCTAAAGTCGGCTCGAGGCCGCCCGCGCAGCGGCGGAAGGTGGCTGGTTACCGAGCAGCACCCGCGGCGCAATCAATCATCTTTACGCCGAAAAACAGCTTCGGGTTTATTTAAAAAAAAAAAAAAAAAAAAAAAAAAAAAATCGCGGAGGGGGGAAAAAGGAGCGGCACGCGCATCGGCGGGGGAATGGCTGTTTGTAGCAACGAGGTATTTAGCGCCGGAGGGTGAAGGGGGGTGGAGACCAGGGTGGGGTGTCCCAGGAGCTTCGGCCGCCACAAGTCCCTGGCACGGAGCTCCTGGCACCGGCCCCTGACGCGCTCCCGGCCCTGAGGGCGGGCCTCGCCGCCGCGCTCAGGTGCCCGCGGCTGCCGGCGCCGGGCAGGCCGGGCACCCCCTCACCCCTTTCCCCGCCGCCCCCCGCGGAGGAATGGGAGGAGGAGGGGGGGCGGCCCCTCCCGCCATCGCCCGGTTACCTCAGGAGGTGCCGGCGCGGCGGGGCGGCCGTTGGGGAGCCGGCTCCCCAACGGCCGCCCCGCCCCACCGGCACCTCAGCGGCCCCGGCCACTGACCTGCTCGCCGCGCGTCTCCCGCGGCTCCGCGGGGGTGGGTGGGTGGGGGGAGCGTGGGAGTGGGGGAGAGGAGGGGGAGGCGACCGCTGCCCCGGCGTGACAAGGGGCGGCGGCTCGGTGCGGCGGCCCCGGCTGGCCGCGATCGCGGCGGAGGCGCCGGAGCGGGTCCTGTCACATGATGCGGTTCCTGGAAAGTTCCTGGAAAGCAGCCTTTGTATGTAGCCATCCCGGGCGGGGGGAGCGGCGGGGGCAGGATGCCCTCGCCTCGCAATCAAAGGCGGACAGACCGCCCGCGCTGGGGAGAGGGGGGGAGCGGAGGGTGTTGTTTCCCCAGGAGCACCATCCTCCTCCGGCAGCGGCAGCCTGTCTGCCCGCCCGAACGCAGACCCGACGCTTCGCCCCGGCGGCGGGTACTGCGCAACCCCCCGGCCCCTCAGCGCCGCCGGCAGCGAGAACAACCTGACCGCCCCACCTCCAGGCGGCGGCAGCGGCGGCCCCAGCCCCGTCCCGCCGAGCCAGGGTGAGTGCCGCCACCGTCCCCCCCGCCCCGCCCCGCCGCTCCGCGGGAGCGGGGAGCCTGCAGCCCGGCCGCCGGCGGGCGGGATGAAAGCTTCCCCGAAGCCGGGCTGCTCCGGCGCTCCTCATCCCTGCCGGGGGACGCCCCGCCGCGCCTAGTCGCCACAGCCTCGCAAAACCCGCCGTCCCCGCGGAGGGGCGGGCGGCGCTTCCCCTGCGCAAGGGGTCGCGCCCGGGCACCCCCGGCCAGGCTGCTCCCACCTGCGCTCGCCGCTTTGCCGCCGCCGCCCCGGTGACAGGCGCACCTGCGCCCGGTCCCCGACGGTCCTGCGCCGGGGTTGGAGGGGACGGGGCTGGGGCCGGGCTTTGCCGGGGGAGGGCTGCCGCGTGTGTGTCCGCGTATGTTGCGCTAGAAACCCGGCAGAGCAACCGATCAGCTGCCGCTGAAGTTTAATTTGGGAAAGTTTCTGAGCTCCGCCGTGGAGCTTGTGACGGCAGGAGTCACCTCCATCTAGCCCCCCCTCACCTGGCGCCTGCCGCGCACCCGGAGGCAGAGGCTCTGCCCGGCTCGCAAGCACCGGCGGGGGTCCCGGTCTCTCCCCGTGAGCCCCCGACCCGCCTCCGGCCAGGCCGGCTGGGCTTCCCCCGCACCGGCGCTGCCCGGCTTCGCGTCCCAGCTCCCGGCGTGACGGTGGGAGAGCGAGGGGCTCTCCTTATTCCCTCCCGTTCGCTTCAGCCGAGCGGAAAGGTAATATTTTTCAATAATACCAGCATTTAATGGAACGGGAAAAGCACACTTCTTGCCCCGCGCTAAATCTATCGCGCCCTCCACCGCGCTGCCCTTTTCCCCCGCACCCACGCGAGCTCCGGGAGCCGGCGCTGCCCGCGCAGCCGCCCCGCAGCCCCTCGGGCACGCCGCTGCCCGGGAGAGGCTTCCCTCTCGCCCCGGCAGCAGGGCCCACGCCGGGCTCCCGTTCCTAGAGGTGCGGCTTCGCGTGTGACCTTCCTGAAAGGCGTAGCGCACCGTTCCTGCGCGCCGCGGCGGGCAGCCCGGGCAGCGCCGGGGCTGGGACCTGCCCTGCTCCTCCGTTACCCCTCCCCGCTCGTACCTTTCCGTGCTCGGCTCTTCCCCCCCCCCCACGACCTCCGACCTCCCCGCAGCGCTGCCGGCCGGGCTCGGCCGCCCCAGCCGAGGGAGCGGCGCATCAGCGGCTTTGCCCTTACCATACAGCGAGACCACCTTCGCCGGCCGCCGCCTCGTCCCCGGCGGAGGGGAGCCGGGGACAGGCCGGGCGGCGCGGGGGAGGAGATGTCCCTCCCCCGCTCCGCCGGGAGGTGATCTCTCGCCTCGGGTCCCTCCTCTAGATGCTGGGAAGTTCCGAAGCGGGAGCGCCAGAAACGCACGGGCTGCGCCGGGAGCGGCTCTCGCGGGGCTCGCCGCTAACCACGCTCTCTCTCCGCTCGCAGGCGGCGCCCGGGCCGGGGGCCGGGGCCATGCACCCGGCGCGGCGCTGAGCACCCCGGCGCCGAAGCGGAGCCCTCTCCCCGCCGGCAGCCCCCGACCTGCGCGCCAGCGGGGCCGCGCCCGCCGCCGCCCTCCATGACCCTGCGCTCCGCCGGGTCCCTGGAGAGCGCGGAGGACTCCCGGGCGCGCTGGGGGCACCCCGGGGCGGCGGCGCCTGTTGCCGAGGAGTCCCGTGAGGCGGCGCAGCTGGCCGCGGCTATGGAGGAGCTGCGGCGGGCAGGTAAGCCCGGGCAGCCGGCCGGGGAGGGAGGGAGGGAGGGGGCGCCGGCGCTCGCCGGGGCGCCCGGCTCGCCGCCGTCCCGGGGGAGGCGGAGCGGCGCGGAGGGGAGCCCCGCCGAACCGAGAGGGGAAGCGGGCGGGCGGGACGACGTTCGCCGTCGTCGCCCGGCGCTGAGGGGCGGCGGCGGCTCCGACCTTCCGCGGGCGAAGCGAAAGCGCCGGCAGCGCCGCGCCCCGGCGGCGGCCCGGGATCGCCGGCCGGGAGGGAGCCGGGAGCTGCCGCCGCATCCCTTCGGCCCCGCGTACCTGCGCTCCGCTCGCCGGTGTGGCGGCGGCTCTCCCGGCCCCGCGGGCGGAGAGAAGGGCTTTTTCCTTCATCGCCTCCCGGCTGGGACCGCAACCAGCAGCGCCCAAGTTGTTTTCTTACCCCATCTCTGCTTCCGATCGCTAGACAAAGCTCATTTCAACAAAAGCCTACCTAGAGTTACCGAAAGCGGGCTTTTTGCGGGCTGACAGCGTGTGCCGTGCGGACACAGCCCTCGCCCCGGCGTGTGCGTGGCGCGGAACCGCGGGACGCGTCCCCGCTACCTCTCGGGCGGCCCGTCGTGTCGGCGGCTTCGGCGTTAGCCCCGCAGGAGCCTGGAGGAAAGTTCGTGCGTGTACATGCATAGATGGGCAAATAAACAGTGACCTGGAAAGCTCTGTCAGAACGAGACGTTGCATTGTAAAGCAAATGAATTTAAATGGCAAATGAAGATTTACAGTGCCTGCAGGACTTTTGCTTTCAGACAACAAAGGAAATGGGTTATTGCGAGTATACTAGCCAAAGAGGAGCTTTTTAAAGAAACAAACAAACAGGACTAAACAACCCCCTTCTTTCTCTCCTCTTTTAACAGGTTGGTACTGGGGCAACATGACTGTCGCTGAAGCCAAAGAGAGATTACAGGATGCCCCCGAAGGGACCTTCTTGGTTAGGGATAGTTCACATTCAGAGTATCTGCTGACTATTTCAGTAAAAACGTCAGCAGGACCGACCAATCTACGTATAGAATATCAAGATGGCAAGTTTAGACTGGACTCTATCACTTGTGTAAGATCTAGACTTAAACAGTTCAACAGCGTTGTGCATTTGATTGAGTACTATGTTCTTATGTGCAAGGACAGAACTGAAACACCGTCCAATGGAACAGTTCATCTTTACTTGAACAAACCTCTCTATACATCCGCTCCATCTCTGCAACACCACTGCAGAATAACTATAAACAAATGTACAAATCAGATCTGGGAGCTGCCATTACCAACAAGACTAAAAGAGTACTTGAAAGAGTACCAGTACCAGGTATAAATATCTTTTCTAAAAGCCTCTAATATACAGTAACTTTTAAATGTAATTCTTAAAATCAGCCAAAGAACTGAGTAACCAGTTGTACAACTCGGCATGGAATTCACTATCAAAACAGTGGCAGTTCTGGGGGAAAGGTTCTTATTTCAGATGCCACAAAGGGAGACTTTATGTAGAATAATCCCAGCTTGCATCCTCGGGGGTTCGACAAGGTGGCATACTATTCTTGCGAGGAGAGAGAAGCCAGGAATCTGTCCAGATTATGTTGCTTTGTTAATGGCATAACATACTGCACTAACTATCAAATGCTAATTGAATCAGTGGGACTGGGAGAGACTGCAGAAGTGGTCAGAAATGTATGAGAGTGCATAAGTATCTCAGTTGTCTGATTCCAAGATTAATTTGGTGCTGGTGTTCATATAATCCTCAAAGTTTAGCTGGATCACATTGTGATTATCTTGCCAAAGTTATGCAACTAATCAAATCCAGTCAAAAAAGCGATCATGTATTCAGTTTTTATTTAACTATAATTCTCGTGCTTTTCTGCAAGCAAAGGAGTACTGTAAGTAATCAGTTTAAAACACTGTTTTTCAAAGTTCTCTAAAAGCTGACCTTAAGGAGAAATGCCACATCTTTCATAGGAACCCAGTATGTTGCTGATTATATCAGATTGGTATCCCAGAATCTTTAACATGTCAACATCTTCCCAGTGGTGATATATCCATGTTATTACTATTAAGCCTCTTCTGGTTGAGGCTTTAGGACTGTATGCTGCAGACTTGCAGTTGTTCAGTTCCAATGTCAAAACATGGATATCAGCAGTTACAGCTGTCTTCTACAGTGTAGAATGTTCTCTTCAGCTTGTTTCCCAAAATGTGGGGAAGTATGATTTGGGGTTTTTTTTGGAGGGGGTTGTGGTCTGGTCTTTTTCTTTTTTTTTTTTTTTTTTCCCTTTCCTTCTAATTCACCATTGTAGCTATCAGACTATTACTCAATAAAGTAAATCAAATTTGCACAACAATCTCCCAATCTTTGTATGCATGGATTTGCTACTATTTAAGAAACAATGATCTTAAAACCTATGTAATTTCCCAGATAATACTCAGATAAATGCACATGTATCAGTGAGGATAAATACCCCCTGCTTTACTTTTGTGGTGCTGCTCAAAGGTATAGCTGGATTGCGTTCAGATTAGTGGTTTAGAAGCTGCCTGCTGAATTCCTGTAATTAGGTATTAGCATAGGACATTTCTTTTTCTGTTACAGCAGTCTTTCAGAAGGGAAGAAGGGACTAAGACCCTCAGTACCCGTTCCTCAGTCTAAATGTAAAGTATTTAATAGAATATCCAGGATGAGAGTAATAGGAGAGCAGTGAAGAGAGAAACAACAACATAGATTCATCCTCAGTCAACAATTTAATAGTTTTAACTCTTTCCCTAGCTTACTTTTAATTAAAGCGAATAGACCTGTGTTTGAACAAGGAGGGTTGTCAAGACTTGCTGTAATCTAGCCCTGCCCAGGCTGAAATAGAAACAACATAGAATAATCTTCTTGTTTTCCTTGTGAATTAACTGTTCTGTAGTACTGTCAAGATGCTCTGTCCCTTCTCATAAACGCCGGGGCACTGACTGGCTTATTGTGTTGCATCTAAACTCCCAGTGTTATGCACTCATTTTTGTCATTAACATGCTGGCAGAAATGAGTAGCATGGCCCTTGGGACAAGGAACACACCAAGAACCTGAGGCAGGTGGGATGGTCCCTTGGTATGGCAAATACTTGATATGTTGTTGTTCTATCTGTGGAAAAGGTGGCTCTTCTCTCCTCCACAGCTTCAATCCACTCTCCCTGTTTTTAATGCAAGCTTTAGTACAGAAATGGGGGGAGTTTTTGCCTGAAAAACAAAAAAAAAGGTTTTGATATGTAAAATTTTTTCCCCACGCCCTGCCAAAATGTAGCAGATTGTTGGAAGCTTTTCACACAACACAGTGACCACTTTCTGCTTCTCATCCCAGAAGAGCTCTTGTATTTCAGGTATGTGTTGTAATCCCACGGTTGTTCTGTGCTTGTCATCTGTCTTGCTAGGATCTGCACCCTGGAGCTCAGGAGCTTTCCCAGTGAGCAGTGCCCATGAAAGAATCGTACTCCTGGGAACACTTTTAATTCTGACGAATATGTTTTCTTACAGTTCTTGCCTAGCTCTACCTTGAGATGAGACAGCTGCTATATGGAATAACTTCTGATACAGTAAGAAACACTCTAATTTGCTGCTACATTAACCTTCTACTATTGGGCTTTTTTTAAGCCAAGGTGATACTTGGCTGTGATACAGTTGGGATCTCAGTGGTGAACACGTCATGCTAAGGTCCTTTAAAATAACTTCACTCCAGACCAGTCCCTGGCCTGGGGATTTAAAAGCACCAACACCAATGCTGGAACAAGCAGCCTGAGAAGTTAAGTGCTTTGGTGTGTAACGAGACAGTTGTGTTGTGCATTTAAGGAATGATTTATGGCTCGTTGCTGGCAGGCTACTGTAAGCAGTCACAGGCCAGGTATACCCCATGGCAGAGCCAAGCCCTGAGGAACGACACGGGGCAGATGCAGGGCAGCTCTCTGGGCTTTCTGTTAGCGGTTCTCCAAAGGACAAGGGCAAACGGCTGGCTGAAGACAAGGAGTGGTAGTAAAGTGAGAGGAGGTGGTTCTTGTAAATAATCAAGAGTAGTTACTGTGATGTGGAATCAAGTCGCCAAACGTTGATCATACTGATTCGTCCTTTGTATCATTCATATTAGTTACTGTGAGGAAAAGTAGGGTTTGTAGCAATGGTGTGCTTGAAGCAGTGAACAATATTTTGAACAGACTGGAGGGGGAACTAGTCCTCTTTGTATGAAAGCAGAGTTCTTGTCCTCATTAGGATGCCAGCCCTAGGGTTGATGCATTGCACTAGTAAAACTAAATCACACTATAGCTTCCTGAAAGCTCGTCTTCATTCTAACACAGCACAGGGGAATGACTTGTTCTGATGCAAAAAAATCCAAGGATAGCACATGATTAGATTACAGGGGTGAAAAAATCTTGCATATAGACCTTGTGAATTTTCAGGCACAATCATGTTGTCCGAGCATTTTTTTTAAAACTTCTGGTGCTTTTTTTTTTTACTTCATGGATGTTGTTGTGGCTTGTTTGCAGCACTAGCTTTTAAATTGCTGGCGCTTCAGAGTCCAAAAATCACTTCTAACTGATATATGTGATCTTGAATGGCTAGTACAGAGTGTTCAGTGAAGCCAGTTTCACAGGTTCGATGCCCAGGAGTCAACCAAAAATCATGATAAGGACTTTAATCCTAAACCTTTTTATTCCACCCCATGTGTTGATTTGGTTTTTCATTTTCGAGTCTTGAGGTTTCATTTTTTCCAGCTTATACCTGGAATGTCAGTTGCTGAAAACCTCTTCATTTTAATTAGAGAGAGAATCCCACTATCCTAAAAGCTGATGCTTGAAAAAAAAAAATTGCAAGATGAATGATGAAAATGGAATTGGTGACTGTATTTAGTTTAGCACTAAACCCAGCAGAAGTGTGAACTATGTGAACTATGGCTCCATTTTAGTTGTATGGGTATTTCCCCGCTGTGAGTATTATCACGAGACAGAAAATGGTTCAAGTACAAGATGGGTGGGTAGAGTGGGAATGTAACCAAGCAGCTGCGCCCATTGCATTAGAAGTAATTTTATTTTAATCTGATCTCGTCAGTATTGTCCTAATTATATTTTATGTAATCACATTCTAGAGAAACAATATACAATTATTCGCAAGAGGGAAAAATTGTTGACTAGAATATGGGGGCAGAGGCATTTATTTTTGTCTTAAAACAAACCAGAACTTGCTCCTCACTAAAAACTGTGGAGCTTTAGAATCTGAGACTCCTATTAAGTCTCATCACCTTATGAAAATCGAATCTACATACAATGGGAAGGACAGGGTTCTGTAGTTGCATGGATTTCTGTATCTTAGCCACCTGTTGTATCTTAGCAAAGTGTTCCTATAGGCAAATTACCTTGTTAAAGGTCATAGAAAAAGTTGATTTACTTATATGCTCTATTCAAAAGCTTTTTCTTGTATACCTGATAAAATTCCTATGGATTTTTCCTTTGGCTATAAGCTTAGGATCTAGCAGAAAGTAAGTTGAGTAGTGTCAGGCCTTTGTTCTTCTTAAACACATGATGGAAATGGGAAGAGATACCTTTAGATGTGGGTGTCATGTCTAACAGGCATTTAAAATAAAGTAAAATAAAACTTCTGCTGTCTTTGCTGTCATTAAATAAATCTAGGTCTCATATTGACTGCTAAAGGAAATAATGGAAATAAGAGGAAATTCTGAAAGTTTTACTACTGATTCTCAGTAACTATAAGAAACTTCTCTGTCAAAAGAAGTTTTATTTTTTAAAAACTATAGAAATAAAATTTTTAGTATGTAAACCATAGAATTTCCAAATAGAATAACTAGAAATTACTTGAAAGGTCTGAGCTGGTTAGTGCTGCATACACAAAGGAAGTGAGGATGACAAGCTACTTTGCTATCACAGCCCAGCTCCTGAAAGCCCCTTTTTTACCGGTGTTAACTTCAGCAGATCCCAGTATTTTACTAAGCCCTCAGCATGGGTGAAAATGCCTGGAAACAACATTCTACCAACGCATAATTTCAGTCACCAAGGTCTGAGCTCGCTTTACAACAACATGGCGGTTTGCCACAGTATTGCTGAAATTGGGTAATTTCTACAATGGGCTGAAGATCAGTCAGAGAAACTGGGAGGCAGAGTTGGTGCTGCCGGGGGCTGTGAAGGGCATCAGTGCTGAGCACTGCTGGTCCTTAGCTGCTGTCCTAGGCGGAGGGCACACTACAAGCGACGTAAAACACAGCTGCTGGGAAACCAGATGAGAAGCTAGTCTGCTTGCTGAGGAGGGAATTATCTGTCTGGCTTTCGGTGTCTGACAAGGGACTGAAGGGAAAGAACCTGGAAAAGCCATCGGGTGCTATGAGAGGTGGCACTTCTCACAAGGTGTATCAAATAACCAACCATCAGGACAAGTGCAATGCTGAAAGGTGCATTAGTAGTGCTTAAAGGTCCAGGGGGGGTAATTAGCATCAGCACAGTCTGAAACCACATATAGAGAAAGTTTGTCTAGATAACTGAATTCCAGGGGAAAAAAATATGCTTATGGAAAAATCAGTCTGTCCTGGTCCCAGGGTTGCCAACGGGGCGAGGAATTAACTGTGTTTATTAATCAGGTTATCTACAGGGCTTTGAAGTAGCCAGTGCCTCTGAGAAAGTCTAAGGAAATGTGAAAACATATCACCATAATTATGGTGTTTAATCTGCCTGATAAATTGTGGATTTTATTCTGCTTAAATCCTGTTTTAAAAAAAGGATTTCACCTGTGATTTGATTTGGTTTGTTTTCTTCCAGGAACCGAAATACCTACATAACACCAATACTTTCCATGGTATTAAGGAGGAATAAAATGCAAGTGAAAAAGCTATTTATATTAGCATAAGGAACAAGCTAGCATTTAGTAGGAAAAAATTCAAACAGATAATACCCAGGAAAAGTTTAGTGCTGAGTGCTGCAAAGAAGAAAATACATTTAAAAACCCCCAAATTCAATGTTCCTGCCTTAATTTTTCTTTCAGTGGCAGGCAGGGTTTATGTAAGTAGATCCTTTTGTTTTCAGTCAAATTGTTCTATAATTGATGTTTTATAGCTGAGGATTGCAATTTGGTACACTGGTGGTTAACAAATAGTAAATGTAAAGGTATGTTAATCATGGGAAAAGATTCAAAGCCCAGTGTGTATTCTTCTTTTGACTTTGTTGAGGTTATATGGATCAGGCTTGATAACAAGAATTATATAAGAAACAGTGGTAAGACAGATAGTTGAAAGCTGTAAAATCCCTTTTCAAAATGCTTTGTTACAATTTAATTGTATCTCTTTACGTCATAGCTCTGAAATAGGATCTGTTCAGCTGAATCTCTGCACCCACACTCAGTTTGTCTGAGGGGGAATGTCCAGGTTTGAGGGACTGCTCTGGACACCTGTATTACACACAT